AAAAAATAACGAAAATGGTACAGCATTAGCACAGCATGCACAACAGAAGTTGCATAATTTTGATTTTGATAACACAAAAATACTGATTAACGCGAGTAATTATAATAAGAGAAGAGTCCATGAAATGATACAGCTTAAAACATAACAATGCTATGAATTTCAGATCGGATACCGACAATCTTGGCTCAGTATATCATACATTAATTAAATGAAATAAACATAGAATATTAACTAACACCCGGTATATTGAAGAATTTTGCAAACCAAAAATAATATTCTCAGAATTCAAAGAAAAATAGCTGAAGGTAAAAGAAATCAATATAAACAATATTGTATTCGCTTTGTGTCCAAAATGGACAAAATTAATACTCCAAATGTATGCCAAGACTTAAAGCAGCAACAACGCTACACGTGTAAGTAAAAATATTTAAGTATCTGAACTATTGATTGTCCTGACTAATCACCTGTTAAGCCTAATTAATTTTAGAATGTTTTAAAGTGTTGCAATTGTGATGTATTTTAATGTGTGATATGATGAGGCTGTTGACGAACTGTGATTGTTTTTTAAATTAATGATTATGTTTTTAACTATGTTATTTTAGAAAAACTGATGATGGTGGAAAAATACACATTTAGGAATGTTTTCCGGGCTTTGAAGCCGTGGTCTATCGGAATTTCTTCCTGACGTTTCGTCCACAACTGCGGTGGACATTATCAAAGGTGATGAGGCAGTGGGCGAAATGATCTTCCGTGCTTTCCGACTAACACTTCGCCCACTGCCTAATCGCCTTTGATAATGTCCACCGCAGTTGTGGACGAAACGTCAGGAAGAAATTCCCATAGTCACGGCTTCAAAGCCCGGAAAACATTCCTAAATGTGATTTAACCGGCCGTGAAAGCCTTCATAGACGTATTTTAATTGATAAATAAAGACAATAAATGACTGAAACCCAGGAATTAGTTTTGATTTGGAATTGTTGCCATCCTTCTGATCTAGTTTTTTGCAAATATCTCAGTGTTTACCACAAATTATTTTTCTACCATTTTTCCTGTCCTCTCGAAACACCCCCAGACAACACCTCCAGAGGAATGACGGCAATTTTGAATCACCCTGTATATTTGTACTCGCCTATTAAGCCAATTTTTTAATAGAATTTTAAAGGGTATTCCGCAAGTTTACTTTTACATTTCTGCTTCAATCGAGGAGCTATAAATGGAAGCGATTTCTTGGGAGTGAAAGAAATAACGTTTGTTTTTTGTGTTGTTTTAGGTGCATGGGGGGCGATGGGCCGGGGCGGCACGGCTGAGGGGGGCCTACGGAGGCGGATGCCGCTTCGGCGAGCGGGCGGCGGGTCGGCGACAAGGGGCGGCCACGGCCTGGGCGGCAGAGCGATGCGCTACTACCGCCTCTGGATCTACACGTGCAATACCGCCCTTTTAGCTGGCGCTGTGGCCTTTACCGGTGCCGCTGTCAAAACCATTCTTTTCGACTTCAGACGGTAACCGCAACCACTGTTTGGTCATTTGAAAGTTTCATGTTCTGTTTTTCGCATTTAGGAGTCTGGTGCCTTCACTCACTTTGTATCAGCCGTCGTTCCTCTACGCCTACTTGGCGCTAGCCACCCAGGGCGGCGCCCTCCAGCTGCTCGGCTGTTTGGCCGCTCTCAAACTGTCCGAAAAGCTGCTCAACGCCTATTGGCTGCTGCTGTTGGTGCTGGTCTTTGGCGACGTGGTGATTGGTGCCTTTTGGGCTTACCGGTTCGAGCGCATTTGTCAGGTGAGAGTGAGTCACACAACCATCCAAACCAAAGACATTAATCTGAGCTTCATCCTGTATATTCATTGTTTGAGCATCGCAATGTGGCAATTCGGTTTTTGTTTTCTTTGTATAATCGAACCACATCCAAGATTTAATCCTCGTGCCCGAATTTCCTGTCAATAAACCCGGCGAAGACGATAACCCGTGACCTTTTTCTCGTCCCGTCGAAGTTCAGGGAAACAAATATTCCCCGAAACGGAGCGCATTATACGATTTGACAGAAAATCAAAATTGCCTCTCGGAAAATGATCTATCTGTTATGGACAATCTTCCTACCCAGATCGATTACTTACTATAGCGGATTCAAATGAATAAAGCGTCCAAATATTGGACGAAATGGACGGTTAAATCCGGCAGAGAGTCGGGAAAACGACGGAAACTAATCAACTACTCAGTGCCCCAATTAAGTTGGTCAATGTGGATGGAATAGTCGGCATTATCTTTACAAAGCAGAGAAAAATTCAATTCCAAAATGTGTCCGCGCACAAAGTGCGCTCCCTCAAATTTCAATTAGAGACTCTCAGAACAAAATATGCTCAGCCTCGTCTCTTTTCGCCCTTATTTCATTAAACAAAGTCTCGAATTTACGAATGTAAATGCTTTATGAAGGGGGCCCCTCGTTGATAAATGTCCCACTAAGATTGAAACAAATTGAATTAAACAAAGCGAAGAAACTGCCAGGAAGCGGAACATTGAGAAAATCTGAAATGCTCTCTCGGAAAGTCACGGTCCAGGGCATCAAGTAAACGTGTTTTTCGTCTTGTTGCTTCTAAATGAAATTCTAAAAATTCGTATCTGCTAAACTTGACAAATTATAAAAGGTACAATTTCAGCAAAAATGTAATAAAATCCGAATATGGCGTTTATTTCCTATCGAACCTAAAATTTGAGGTTCTAGAAACAAGCAATCTAGGAAAATAAACAATTATTTTTTACCCAAAACCCAGCACGCATTAACTTTGCATCGACTTTGCATCAAACTAAAGCCTTAAAAGTGCGGTGCGATAAAACATGCAGCCAATTTACCGGTAAAAAGTTATGATTTAAAAAAAGCAGAAAAAAGTTAGAAAAAACGGAAATCCGGATTTGCAGACTTTTCCACCCGTTAATGGATCATCAAGCTACAAACCGGCCGAATTTCACCCAAATCCAATACGGCGCTGTTTTTCAACTTTCAAAGTTGAGCTTGAAATGTGCCTTATTCGAAACGAGCAACCACTCGCAAAAAAATGTAATTTTGGAGACAGTTCAATTCAGCTTTGAAAACTATACAAACTGTTAATCAGCATCAAGCTACAACATGACCGAATATCACACAAATCTAATCCTCCGTGAATTTTTCATCGGCTTCAAAACTTCACTTGAAAAATGGGTTTCTCCAAACAATAAAACGGTCGCTTAAAAAAATAGAAAATTCGGATCTGCAAATTCTGTTAACTGTTAATGAATCAGCAGGGCCGATTTCTTCACCCAAATCCGATACGGCATTTATTTTTCTTCGACTTCCACAGTTGAGCGTAAAAGGTGCGTTTGTTATTCGAAACAGGCAACCGCTCGCAAAGAAAGATTTTATTTTTGAAAAAGTTCGAATTCAGCTTTGAAAACTCTACAAACTGTTAATGGAGGATCAAGCTATAACAGGACCCAATTTCACCCAAATCCAACACGGCGTTGATTTTTCCCCGACTTTCAAAGTTGAGAGTGAAAAGTGCGTTATTTGAAACGAGCAACGGGTCGTAAAAAAGTGGTAAATTTGAAAAAAGTTTAAATCCAGCTTTGAAAACTCTAAAAACCGTTAATGGATCATCAAGCTACAAAACGGCCGAATTTCACCCAAATCCAATACGGCGTTTATTTTTCCTTTTCTTCGACTTTCACAGTTGAACGTGAAAAGTGCAAAAAAGTGCGTTCGTTATCCGAAACAAGCAACAGCTCGCAAAAAAAGTTAATTTAAAAAAAAGATCAAATTCAGCTTCGAAAACTACAAACTATTAATGGAGCATCAGGCTACAACATGGACGAATTTCACACAAATCTAACACTCCGTGAATTTTTCATCGACTTCAAAACTTCACATAAAAATGCGTTTCTCCAAACAAAAAAACGCTCGCCAAGAAAAATTATAATTTTGAAAAAAAAAGGAAATTCGGGTCTGCAAATTCTGTTAATTGTTAATGAAGCATCAAGCTACAACAGGGCCGAATTTTCCACCCAAATCCAATACGGCATTTATTTTTCTTCGACTTTCAAAGTTGAGCGCGAAAAGTGCGTTATTCGAAACAAGCAACCAGTCGTAAAAAAATTGTAACTTTGCGAAAAACGCAAACCCGGCTTTGAACACACTACCAACTGTTAATGAATCATCGAGCTACAACACGGCAGAATTTCATCAGAATCCATCAAGGTGTTGATTATTACTCGACTTTCAAAGTTGAGCGTGAAAAGTGCGTTATTCAAAACAAGCAACCGGTCGAAAAAATGTTGTAATTTTGCAAAAAGAGCAAATCCGGGTTTGAACGCACTGTTAACATTGTTGAACAAATTGTTAATTGATCATCAAGCTACAGTAACGACAAATTTCACCCAGATCCAGTACCGTGTCGCCTTGTTTTTCGACTTTCAAAATTGAGCTTGAAAAGTGCGTCATTCGAAACGATCTGCCGCTCGCAAAGCAATTGTAATTTTTGAAAAAAAAGGAAATCTGGAAACCCCACAGGCACTGCAAACAGGTCAACAAGCTACAACACGTTCCAATTTCAACGAGATATAATAACGCGTTTATTGTTCTTCCACTTTCAAAATTGAGAGTGAAATTCATTCAAAATTGAGAGTGCAATTGAAGTGCGTTTTTTTAAACGAGAAACCAGTCGAAAAAATTTTTTTGGAAAGAACGGAAATCCGGATTTGTAAACTCGACAAACTATTAACGGACCATCAAGTTACAACACCGTCGAATTTCATCGAGATCCACTGCGTTGATTTTCTTTGGACTTTCAAACTAAAACCGAAAATCCGCATTACGAAACACGAAAATTGGAAACCTTTACCCGCAGTCAACAACCAACCAAATCCAGCCCTGTGCGGAATTTTCGATAGCTTGCAACCATAAAAAGAGCGATTTAAAAGCTATTTATTTTCTTTAAAGCCAAAATTTTCGCGAATTCCCAGATAGGAATCCAGGAGCCGACTAAATAAAAATAAAAATAGGCCATAGATTTCAATGAAATCTCGAAATACACCAGGCTAGAGATTAAAGTTTAAAAAGAACACTTTCATTCGATTTACAGCAGTAGGGCCACTTATCCAGGAGAGACCAAGAACTCTCAACTTAATTAAGTTGGCTTTATATAATTTATCGTTTGATCACAGTGGCCAGTTTTTGCTTCATAAAATCTTGATACAGCACTGATTTCCCATGGGAAACTGCCGACTTTTCCACTCGCACTTTACAGCCATTTAGAACCACTGCATGCAGGTGGGCATATGAGTTTCCCAGTAAATTCAACCAAGTGAAAAATCTCACTTATTGAGGAAACTTTACGATCACCTATTGCTAATAGGATTTTGCCACGGTTTAGTTTTAAAAATGTGCCCTTGAAATTTTTCAGGAACTCCGGCCTGCCCTCCGATTGCGTTTCCAGCAGGAATACGGCACGAATAGCGCGATGACCAGCCTATGGGATCGGCTACAGGCCGAAGACCAATGTTGCGGAGTTTCTGGACCGGAAGAATTCTCCAACACAACTGGAACAGTGCGATGGGAAATGCCAGCCAGTTGTTGTTTTGAACCTGCCGCCTCCAATGTCACTAGATGTGCAAAAGTACGTGGAAGCTTTCATTTTTCTTTACCTTGGAAGGAGTTTTTTGGATGAACTTCTATAAATGTTTATCTACGACTACGTTATGCGTTATTTCAGTTTTGTGATTGATAACGTTATGACATCGTTCATTATTGATACGTTTAGAAAACTCTTTCGGGCTTTGAAGCCGTGATCCATGTGAATTTCTTCCTGACGTTTCGTCCACAACTGCGGTGGACATTATCAAAGGCGATGAGGCAGTGAGCGAACTGACCTCCCGTGCGTTCCGACTAAGACTGGTTCAACTATCGTGACTTGATGTTTTTAACAGACATAGCTAAAGCTCGGATTAAAGGCAAATTGCTTTTTTTTGCCTATTTTGCTTATTTCAAACATTTATTGGAAGTTTTGCCTTTCTCGGAAATTTGTGTCAAGTTTTGCCTTTTTTCAAGCATTTCGGGGCACTTGTTACCGATTCCCGGGAAGGAAGACACCCCGCTAAGCGGTACCTGCGAGAATTGCATGGCAAGTGTGAAAAGTCTTGATGCAATTGGTGATTGTTTTGTTTCCAAGTAGTTCATTTAACATAATGCAGTCCTAGATATACTCCATTGTCTATTGAGACAACACCATTGACTATTAAGCAAATACACAACTGTGCTCGGCTACCCTTTTCACTATTTGAAAGTTTGAACTGACCACCCAACACAGCCGAGCAGAAAGCGTGGGGAATACCCT